GGTGTATGAGAGTTGACTGGAAGGTCTAGTTGTGATTAATAGTAGTCAGAGTTTATGGATAAAAGTATGCAGTGAAATGAGTGAACGTAGGATAAAGAAGGAGAATATAACCTTGTAATGGAATAATATCTAATTAATTGCTGTGGAATTATGGTATGTTTAGAACAATTTCAGAGAGAGAGTGAGAGCGTGTGAGATAAGATAAAACGTAAGAAGGTTGAAAAATGAATAACAAATATAAATCAAACGACAAACTATACAAAAGACAAATCAACCAGCACTCCAACATCAAGGAATAACCCTGGTTTTTCAATTTTTTGTGTTGTATTATTATTCCAAATGGTCTAACAAATATATGCTTAAATATGAATAATGTCTGATTTATGGGCAAAAATGTGAATAAATTACCATAAATATGCAAATGAGTGAGTTTTTCAAAAAAATGAAATTACCATAGTATTCTATACACTTAACTTGACATGTATGCAAATTTTCGCGGCGATCGGTCGTTTCACGGCCGAGATCATAGGGGGGGGGGGGGAGGGGGCGGAAGCCCCCCCCCCCCCCCCGGGCTATGCAGTTTCAAAATAGCCCGGTCTAAATAGGGTTAAAGGAAGGGGGAAGGGGCACTTCGTATTCAGTCGAGGACGCAGGTTCGAAACTGAGTCGCGTCTTCCAGATGGTGACCTAAAGTTCGGTCCCCAGACGTAAATAATCATATCTGACTGATACACACACACACACACACACACACACTTCTTTTAAAGTAGAAGGGGCACCTATCTGATTTTAAAAGGGGCACTTTCCTACATAAAAGGGCACTATTGGAGTACTTGAAAAAGTGGGGGGGGGGGGGTGGGGAGGCGCCTTTGCTCCCGAACGATGACAAGAAATCGCTGCTCCTGCCGTATGGCTGTGTTATCCACATTGCTGTCTGGATAAATTCTCATCAGTCACATCATAATCACCACATTATAGGTCCCGATTTTCAAAAATACCATTTTTATTTCGTTTATCGGAAGTGATGAAGCCCCCCCCCCCACCCTCCTTCGACTCTCAAGCTTACCATAGTAGGTTCATGCTCTAACCCGGTAGGATGTTTACGGGGGCACATCCCCCATCAAAGAGGATTTTTTTTTAAAGTGAAGACGAAAGGGAGAGGGGAACTTGAGACGGAAGTAAGTCTAGCTCCCCCTCACCTTCTAGGTATCCTTTTTTAAATTCACATTTCATTCACCGAATAAGACCTGTGACCCCCTCCCCCTTAAAAAAAAAAAAAAAAATAAAAGATAAATTAATGATAATAATAATATATTAAATAAATTAAATTAAATTAAATCAACAAAAAAAAAAAACATATTCACGTGCCTCCTGAATGGTTTAACCTACGCTACGCCATTTACTTGTACAACCCACCACAAAGTGTAAAAATGGTCGTCTCTGTCGCAAACTTACTGGAAGGTTTATATCAACGCATATTCAACATGTAGCTTCTATATAGGCCGACATTATAGGCATGTGTTTTAAGTCCCTCATCCTCCTGCCATCTATAGGACGGCGGAATTCTCTCCCAGACAAATTGCGAGGGAGACGAAGGAAAGGGTAAGGGGATAGGGATGGTTGAATGACACAGACCTATGGATTTTTGTTCTTCTGCTGCTTGTCAAGAGGGGGGGGGGGGGGGGGGATTCGTGTCCCACTTCACCCCGTTCTCCCATACATGATAAAGGCATGCGGCACTATCATATTTGCAGAAGGGGCATGCGGTTTGAATGACACACAAATATTTAAAAAAAAAGCTAGGCACTAGCAGTTAAACATATAGCAGGGGAATTATTATAATTAAGAAACGCAGGATATACAGATTTACGTCAAAATAAATCATTCGGGCATTACCCCCACCCCTCACCCCTCCATACAGACCATTCCCATCAAAAGAGGTTTCCTTATAACTACAAGTTTATGGATCGCAATAAGTTGAGATGTTTTGCCCCTCCTGAGGCCACAGTCTGGATATGCCTCTGGTAGACTATTTTGTAATTACTCACTGATTAAAAAAAGAGAGCCTAATCAAACGATCGTTTGTTTATTTATTTAATAAATCATTAAATAATGAATTATCATTATATCTTAACAAAATGAACGGCAAACCAGTAAAACGATACCACACGGAACTTTGATCTTGTTGTAAAATCAATATCAGATTACACAACGCCGTCTCCTTGGCAACGGGGTCACGCTTTGATCTCAGTTTGCATGGTTCAGTGAAATAAAATGTTTGTAATTGTTCCTGCTTTTTCACTGATCTGATTGTAAGTGAGAAAGCCCCAAGGGGTATTATCAACGTAGCCTGAAATAAATATCATGGGCCTTGGCATAGTGGTTTTATTGGACGGAGAAACATTGCTGGAGAAATATTAAGACTCAAAATCGATCGCGTCCAACCCTTAAGGCAACTTTATTAACTCGTCGGACCAAAAATCGATGAAAAAACGTCCCATTCTTGTTGGAAGTCATTACGCAGACATAAATGGACTGTTGCGTTTTCAAATGAGATTGATTTTTTCCTCCCCATTTCTCTTTCATCTTTCGGATTTCTTTTGTTCCGTATTGAATGCTTGAAAAGTATTGTGTACACTACAGTGTTGGAGTGATTGGAATAAGTTATATCAATACGGATGTGCGTGCTAGCCAGGTATTATTGAAGAGGGTAATTAAACTGTGCATAGCAACCCCGGCTTGTAGCTCTTGTAGTTTTTTGATGGAGTGTATTCTGGATTAATACAAGGGATACATCGCTCGTTTCTTGTTCCAACATCAAGTTTTCATCGAGTGCCGATACAGGATTTTAGAGACAATCAAAGGTAAGCCGATTTAAAACAAAAAATTACTACAGTGTGAACTGTAACTATAAATATTATTCCATAACAATATTTACAGAACTTTCAATAACAGTCGCCTCCCTTAATCGTCAATTTATATACACCCCAATCGCCCATAAGAATATTATTTAATAACTTGTCAAAATGCTTAAGTAAGATATTTGGGCATGGATTAAATCATTATTTAACATGAAAAGGGTTTAAGGTATAAGATGAATTAGCTGCAAATTAGAACATGTAACACAAACAGAAATAATCGGATTGGAAAGATATCTGTTAATTCTTCAAACGTCATAACTACATTTGATAATTTGTGGTCTATATGTTTTGTTATGTACCTGTATCTTCATTTCAGTGTGCCGTATATTCAAATCTTTTGATTTTTTTTAATTATAAAAACAATTATCCTAGATCGAAGAAAAAAAAATGATAGACGTATCTGTAAACTAATAATTCATACCAGTTTTCAAAGTAAGCGAAATGACATCAAAGCCAAACTCCTGATTTTGTTTTCTTTCCCCCTCGTAATTTTATACAATTTGCAAGATACATTTACATCTTGAAGTGATTTATTCGTTTAAATTGCCAAGGTCGAAATCATGATCAAACTAAAATGCCACTCGAAAATGCTTAGAGATACCATCACGTGTACATAATTTTGACATAACAAAGAATCGCAACAAAAGAATACTCTTCTAGTCTTTTTGACGGGGTTGACGTATACAAAGGCAAAGAAAAAATAATTTTGTTTTAGGAATTTAATTTACACCGTTTCCCATAAAATAGTGATAAATATTGCTGGCTCTTACGATGAAAATGATTGTGACGATTTCCTATTCTAGATAGATGATGTTTAAATGTTGTTAGAACTTTATTGATCAAACGTTTTTGATCAATAAAGTAAAATTAGACAAAAAGTTTATCTATCAAGGATAAATCATGTTTTCACAATCATTTCAGGAAAGACGTTAAAGAAAGTATTCCAAGTTTATGAGTATTATTTACGTTTATTTGGATAACGAAGTCATGCACTAAAAATAGAAGAGTAATTAGCTATATAATTACATGGAACTTAAACTGCAATAAAAACCCAGGGGGGCTTGGGAGTTCTTGCATTCATTTTCTACATGTGCCTAACATCAATTCATTTATAATCAAGAAAAATGGGGGAGGGGGGTAATTTTTGGGGAGGAAGCTTCAACTCCCAGGTCACCCTTTATAATTGCTAATGCAAATACCATTGAGTGTTAGTATTTTCTTAGTATACTACTATTTTTGTACTCAGACTTTACACATTATCTTCTCACAGCATTGCTTTTTAAGTAAAAATGGTGATTTCAGGCTGAAAATTCCGATTCCTCCAAATTACAACGATGAATTCTCTCACGGTGCGTTCACCAGTGCCCTTCCAGCTGCCCCAAATCGATGAACGCCCCCGTACAAGGACTTCAAGAAGTAAAGGAGGGCGGCGGCTACCCATCCCAGAGGTCGAATCGGGGGCGTATCGGGCCCATTTTAAGAGATGGTGGGATGATGAGGGGCGCAAGAAACTACATGAGAGTAAGTGATGTACTGCTTGTTTAAACAAAAGTATTGTTACATAGTTACATCTTTCTGATAGATTTGACAAATTCACCCGTCCTACAATTCCATTTTTGTACCTGAAAAGTGAAATGGCATATACAGGATTACTTTTAAAAATGATTGCATGATTAGGCGTCTCGTGGTTTACTGTTGAAGATGATAAAAGTTCTATACTAAATTATAGTGGCACGAATATCAAAATGCGTTTATAATGATGACTTATAAGAATCTTACATGATATCACAAGTGGTGATACAGACCCCCATTAATGGCTTAATGATGAAATTACTTCAATATTTCTGGACTTTCATTATAAAGGTATTACAGGCACCTTTTTTGGCTTTCAATCGCTATCAAACTCAGTGATATTAAGAAGACTGGCAGAAAAGGGTACATTGCGTCTTCAAAAGAACCAAAACGTATGATGATAACTGCAATCTACTAGCCAAACTTTAACAGTCTCTCCCTTTCGTTTCTTTCTTTCCCTTTTTCGTCGTTGTTGCTGTTGTTGTTGCTTTTCAACACCAGAGGAAGATCCGATGGTTGCCATTGGTAATCGAATCACGGAGGTACATGATATGGTGACACCTAGAAACACAAAGGAGATCACTATGAACCGGTTGCAAACTCCACTTAAAAATAAAGTCAGGGTAAGTTTATAATAATAATAATAATAATAATAATAATAATAATAATAATAATAATAATCTTTTAAAGTCCACTCCAAATTTTATTAAGTTAAAGCTAAAAGACCAGTTATGGTCATGCGATTGCATTGTGAAAGAAACATTGTGAATCGATCAGAAAAGTTTGATCATCTAGCATAGATGTACTGCGAGGTTCTGGAATCATCAAAATGATAAGAAATTTGGCCAAGTCTTCATGAAGTTAGAATCACTGTACACAGAAAGATGTATATGGGACTACACACACGTGCGCGACACGTGTATTTGTATCTCTCAACAGGCAAGAGATACACTAATTTACCAAATATATCAATTAGTAGGCGGTTTCCCGTCAACATTTTTATCATCAAGTATTATTCAAAACATATTCTTTCACATGATTGGTAATAAGAGCTTCCATTTAATTTTTTGAAATTGGGGTATTTCCAATACTGGAAATGGAAATTCTTTTTGCCCAATTAATCGTGAGTCCGGCAGCCACTGAGCAGCGCTAGATCGACGTTGCTCTATCCCTTATTGTTGAACGCCAAACAAGGTAGCAGCAACTCCCGTCTTTTAACGTTTTTTGGTATGACGCGGCCGGATTCGAACCCACGACCTCCCGGTTGTGAGGCGGACGCTCTACTGACTGAGCCAACACACCGGTTACAAAACAAAAATATGTGTCAGAAGTGGGATTCGAACCCACGCCTCCATACAGAGACCAGAACACCCATAGAACATCTCTGTTAAGAGATAAGGAGTAAACCTTGAGTCTGGCGCCTTAGACCGCTCGGCCATCCTGACAACTCGTGATAGCTCGAAGCATGGACCTACAATAGCTCCATGCTCGAAGTGAGGAGATAGCTTAACAAAATTCATGTACATGTAGTTACGGGAGAATAAAGTTTACGTGGATTTGCCCCCAAAATATACATTTAAGATCATTTATTTTCCTGGAGTGTTTATCCCATTCTGTTATAATTCCTTTTCAAAGTAAGTAAGAAGGATGAGAGAGAGAGAGGGAGAGAGAGAGAGAGAGAGAGAGAGAGAGGGGGGGGGGGGGGGGGGGGGGGAGGGGGAGGGGTGGGGAGGGGTGGAGGATAGGGATGAAAGAATAAAATTAGTTCTATTTTTGATCTACACTGTATACTAGCCGTTATATAATTTATATACATTTTCAGTTTCCGTAACAAATTATGTCACGTTAACTAAACATTTATTTATCTTTATCTACCTTCTTTTAGGAATTATCTATCATGACACCGGGTACATTTCGGCGGAACAGAAGACCAGCTGTAGAGAAAAAGGTATGCAAATATTCATTCGTAGAGAGATTGGAGTGTGTTGTTGCCAAACCGACTAATTATACATTATAATATACTGTATTATTTTCAATCATTTTAGTGTCACCTATGCAACCATTTGACAGAGCCATAGAACTACGATAAAAGATTTCTATTTTTGAGATAAATGTATCATTAATTCATGTATTGCTTGACCAATCGAATTTATTATTGAATAATTAGTTTGTGTTTGCTTCACCTTTACAGTTTGACGCCGCTCACTGTTTCTTCAATGCAATTAAATCAGTACTGATTGTCGTAACCATCTATAGACGAAGAAGAAGGTAAATAATGATTCTTAAACCTGTTAAATCAAACAACATAGTTAATATTATATTATTCTTTTGCTATTGTAATTAAAGTACAGGATTTATGAGCATGAATTTGTATTGCTTTATTGTATTTATCTTTTTAAGCGCACCGAGAGACAAGAGATAGTTTTGATTATAGTCAATTTATTTTTTCAAAAATATGATATTCTGCCACCGATGTTGATGAAAACATGCATTAACCTTGGTCCATTTCAATCTGTCTAACAATTTTTAGCGTGTTTTAATCATCGATTTATCGATGGATTGTTTGGTACCCTATGTATGTTTTATTTACAAAGCTTTCCATATCTTACCATGATATTGAAATATATCTCTTTCTTCAAATGTATTTCATGATCATTATCTTCCTCCTCCTCATCTTTTCTCCATCGCTATGGGGATATACGTTTTATTATTTTCCGTAATGGCCTTTCTCCAAATATTTACGAAATTTTCCTGAATCAAGAGACTAAATCAAACATTTCAAATCAAACCATAATTTTGCAACAAAAATCAAAATAAGCAAAAATTCACCAAACAATGAAACATGACTCGAAACTCGTCATATTTTCATGACAATACTTCTCTGATCGTTTTCCATCAGGTACGTGCAGAGAGGTTCTATCAGGGATTCCTTCGACTCTGAGATTCGCTGTGAAGATTATAACCAAGTCTGGTTCTCTACACAGGATAAGGAGAGTGCAGATACAACACCACAGAAGACAGTGGTAAGCTATCATTATGGTGCCATGACGTAATTGACGGTTGTTTATTTATTTATTTATTCATTTATTCCTGATCATAGACAGGGTGACTCATTATCACCAATACTGGTGGTCTTCCTGAGGCCATGTTAAACATAATAAGGAAGAATAGGTTGTTTTTTTAATTAAAAAAAATAAAAAATAAAAAATAATGATGTTGATAACGATGTTGTTGTTATTGTTGTCGTTGTTGATGGTGGTGGTGATGATGACGATGGTGTCGATGATTATGATGATTATGAGGATGACGATGTTGGTGTCGATGCTGCTAATTGACGGTTGTTACTTGTGGATAATGTTGATACAGATTTTGTTGGTGGTGATGATGATAGTGATGATGACTATAGTGTTGATGTTGATTATGATGATTATGAGGATGACGATGATGATGGCGGTGGTGGTGGTAGTATTCATGTTACTAATATAATGATGGTAATGATGATACGTTCAAACTACATCTTTTTCTTCACAGATCGGAAACGATTACCAGTGCGATTTAAGAATGCAACCAAAACATAGGACTCAGGAACAACTTGAAAGGGTAAGCTGGTGGCATAAAAAAATGTCAACATGTTTATTCAATTGCCTTATAGAACACGACACAACAACAATAAACGTACAAACAATGTGTAGTTATATAGGGGTCTACAGCAGGGCCTGACAGAGAGATCTGCAGAAAGCAAAGTAAACCAATGTCCAGGAGGTGTATTGCCATATTACACCTTGTCAAATAGGAGAGGGAAAGACATATCCATTTGATGGCAGAAAGGCAGAGGGAGAGTGAAAGAGAGTCATGGGGTCAGAGAGGGTATTTTTTTTTTGGGGGGGGGGGGGGAGGGGGGGGGGGGGTGATGGGTTATGGGGACTAGTAGAACTAGACCAACAACCCAAACAATATAAGCCTCGCAGAGGGCAATTAGTCCGGGCCTAAACGACTAAATGATCCCCGTGGGCGATATTGGCTCGAGCACAAAATAGAAAAAGAAGAAGAAAACAAAACCAATTAAAATATTTGTATTGTTTTTTAGATTTTGCTTCCCCATCTAATTTTTCAGATCGCTTTGAAGATCCGAACTATCAAAAAATTCCAAATGTTTCCAACTAAAATTGAAGAGGAGCTATGTCGGACAATATCATACGGATGTTACGATGATGGTCGAGTTATAGCTTATCAGGGCAGTACGTCACGTCGCTTCTATTACATCATCTCAGGACAAAGTAAGATGCAATAATTTAGCCAGAATGTTGTGCATATATTCTTCTTGTATTTCACTATTTTATGTTATTTCATTTATTCAAAGTCACATGGGTTGGAAGACCTTCGAGTTTTAGTTTTTTATTTTAATTTTTTTTCCGGCATCCATGCGCTACTGTTTTGTATTCAATATTTTCTTGATTATTTTCTATATTGGATATATAATCATATTAACTATAATGATAAGATGATGGTTTCATAAACTATTAATTTGTCTTTGATATATGTTAAGTTTTTTCGCAATCCAACATAACGTATAGAAAGTCATTTGATTTTACTTTATGTCACTATGATTATCCACACGAGCTATTTCAATTCAAGTAAAAAAAATTTTTAGAAAATACTTATTTTCTTCCAATCATTTGTCATATTTTCCAAAACATTCAATCGATATGCAACTGGTATTCAAAGTTGGCTATAACTAAGAAAGGGCGGTGCTAAAATACATGGAAGAAGGTTTATTAGATACCGCGAAATAAGGAACTTTTGTTTGGAACACTTAGCAGATTTACGCACATAAAAAACAAGCCGTATAGTTAGGTTTTGTGGTGATCGATCGCACCCATGGCGTTTTTTTAGGGTAGTTTTATTTTCCTTTAGGACTAATATTTCACAGAGGTGTCGTAGAGTTGTCGTAGTCGAGTGGTTTAACACGTGACCGGAGATACGAAGGGTGTGGATTCGATCCCTGGCGAGGCACAAGTGTCTCTTGACTAGACATTAATCTGCACTTGCCACTCTTCACCCAGGTGTTAAATGGGTACCGGTAGCAATGAATTTATTGAATGTTGTGAGCACTGATGTCAGAATAGCCAAACTAGAGACGGGGTATTAATTGGAGCGCCATATTTAGCACATTGCGTGGTGGATATTGTGGGGTGTAAAAGATCCAATATTAAAAAAAAATATTCAGAGACTCTATTATCATTATTTTAAACATGTAATTTTTTATATTTTTTCTCCTGACTAGTTGGGTTACTACATACATACAAGCTACAGAGTGGGGAGGTGACGAAACCCGTGGGAGTACACAAGAGCGGATACAGCACACCGGTAACGCAATTTTATTTTTGAACATATACAAATCATCTTTTAAATTTATGTTAATTTGCCTTCTCCCTTCCTCTCCCATTCCTTTTCCCCACCTTTTTTGTTTTGTTATTGAAGTTGCTGTTGTTGTATTATTAGTTACTTAGTTCATGTTTTTTTTTTATTTGACTTTCATGTATACTTAAAGGATTGACAATAGAAAGGCCTGTAGGCCTATCGTCGATCCCACCATTATCTGTTATGTGATATTTATGTAATATTCATTTTATATCTTGTTTTGACTTGAATTGAATTGAATTAGTTACGATTTCAAACCACATTACATAGATTTCTCGTGTTATCAAATTCATTTTATTTTCATTTGTGTCATTTGAAATAAACGAGTCGCAGTTTTTCATTTTTGTCACAATGGAAACGTTGGAAGTTTATATTGTAATATAATTAAGGGGGACAATTTTGACATATCTAGATTTTAATAAAATTAGTTTTAAAATCAACAGAGAGACCTTAACATTAATTTGGAAGGTCCTTTAGTCACAAGAAAAAGGTCTCATTCTTCTCTACTAAAATGCTGTCAGAATTAAATAAAAAGAACAACATTTGATGAAGCAAGAAGCGATATTTAAATCCAGCTTCGTATAGGGCTTGTGTAGAGTGAAAATTAATTAAGAGAATGGTGTTTCTATATTGTGGGGTGTGAACACATCATGTAAATAAACGTCCTGAAGGTAAACAGGTTGATTAATGAGCGGGGAGGGAAAGCTATTCGAGACAATGACAACCAGACAAAAACAGGGCAGCACAGGGGCGTCTCTATGGGGAAGATGGGGCGTTTGACTTCACCCTCTTTCAAAAAAAATTGAGGGGAAATTCTCAGAGCTGAGTTTTGGTCCATATTCTGCTAATTCAGTAAGTCCAACCCTGGGTTAAAGTTCACGTTTAATAAAGGAAAATTTCTTAGTGCTCAGACTAAACTTCCCTGGTTAACTCCAATTTTGAAAAGCAGAATTCAAGCGTCGGGTTTATGCCTTTCACTTATTTTAGCTCTTGACTTTTTTCTTGTTGGGTTATTTCCGGTTGCAGAGGAATTTTGTCCCCCATCTTTTTACTCAAAATGGTATAGCTGCGCTCCTGATACTGGCAAAACGTTAGCGATGAAAAGAGAAAGAATAAAGGGTTTGGGGAAAGAACGACAATCCTATATTTTTTCAACACTATCTGTCTCATTTTCTCACCCAGATCACCCGACAGTTGCTCTGGGCTTTATGTCTTCAAATGCATAGGGTTAGATTTATGGTTGTAATTGGGTTTTAGATTAGGTTCGGGGGTAGTGGTTACGGTTAGGGTTTTTATGTTTGGGTTTATAGGGCAATGGTTATAGTTATATGCATAATGTTGGATCCAGGGTAGAAGCTAAGAATTTGGTTAGCGTAGGAAATTGTCGAAAAACCGCCCGGTAGTATAGTAATGATCGATGCTTTTTATCATGTTCTTCTTCTGTAGCGTGAAGAGCTAGAGAGACGCCTCCCACTCACCTCTAACATGGTATGCAAGGGAAACGTCGAAGTCTTGATTCTTGAAATTGAGGTAAATATTTTTCATTTTTAGGAATCAGTCGATTAATTAGCTGAATACCATTGCATTGATCATTAATTTAGCCCGAGAGGTTCTTCTTTCTTTTTTTGCGGGGTGGGGGAGGGGAATGAAGAATGAGATAGAGTGAGAGCGAGAGCAAGAGAGAGAGAGAGAGAGAGGGAGAGAGAGAGAGAGAGAGAGAGAGAATATGTGTGTGTGTGTGTGTGTGTGTGTGGTATATGTATGTAGAGAGAGGGGGTAGAGACAAGGGGAGAGAAAGGGGGTAGAGCGAAGGAGAGAGAGAGAGACGGAGGGAGAGAGACAGGGAACGTGAGAGAGACAGGGAACGTGAGAGAGAGGGGGAGAAGAAGAAGAAGAGATAGAGAAAGAGAAAGAGAGAGAGAGAGAGAGAGAGAGAGAGGGAAGAGGGGTGGGGGATCAAGTTTTATTTACCTAAACAATAACCATTTCAGCATTGTGAAAGAGAAAAACAAAACGTAACAGGCATCTCTTGTCGTCATAGTAATACCAAATTTGTAAAATACTAACAGTCGATTGTCATCACAACTAAGAAACTTATGTTGATTTTTTTTTCTTATATATTGCAGGACTTTCTGTATCTGATTGATCCCCCTGATGACCCTCCAATTGACTTTTTGAGGTAAGGATTCTACGTCCCACGTCATGAACAAAATAAAAAAACACAAGTCCCAATAAACCCAAAAGTCACAGAAGACAAACAAATATTGTAACCACTTGCAAACAACATTTCATAGCGCCCTAACCTTTAGCTTAATGTAGGAATCTACAACTTGTAGAGTTCATAAACTTCATCGTCACACCGATAGCCAATTTATTTGCTGGCATTTGGAGTGAAGTAACCTATATAGTGAATAAAAATGTCATGCTTTAATTACTTAAATAGTGTACCCATTTCCGATTCGCCCACTTCTGCACGGGGGCGTCGTTGGAGGTGTTGGATGATGCGTGGTGTACGTGTGTGTGGGGGCGGTACCCTGGCCCATTAAAAAAAAAAGTTGTTGTCGGCAGATTTCGAAATCTCGTAGCGCTTTCTGAATATCGCATCTAATTTAGTGTAGTAACATAACCGAAGAGAACGAGTGGCGTATATTTACCATAGGGGACCGAACATGTTTTCTTACTTTCAGCCTTGTGAACAATGTCTCTTTATACATAAATATTATTTTTTGATTAAAACAAACTCACAATAATGTAATCATTTGTGTTTTTCAGAGAACAGTCGATGTTCCGAGACTTTCCAGTTGATGAGTTTCGCCAGTATCCAGACTCCATTCGATCGAAGTACTACCCGTAAGTTCTGTTTCCATCCTGGTTAAAGCTTGTATTAAAAATACTGAGTCACCTAATAAATGTCATTATTGACCAATCGCAAGAATATTCAGATTAGTTTGGTTTTGGTTTGGTTTATTGGTTACCTGATTGCAAAGAAAACATGTATAATCTTGTAGGTAAGCAACCAAGGAACCGATGGCTTTAGTACTCCTCTCCGAGGTACTTGATAATGAGGATTTAATGCATTACCAAAGGGCACTAGCGTATCGACTTGGTTTCGAACGCGGGTCCTTCCGAGTGCAAGACCATTAATCTACCGTTGAGCCATCGCGCCACCAAGGTGGAATATACCAAGTAAAGTGTACTTAAACAATTACGTATAAATCTGGTGGTATATCAACTTTTTTTTGTAATTCTCATATATTTTCTCATGCAGTAATTTGTTTTATAGTAAATAGTCGATACCATCAGGGGGGTGTTCTCAAAGACTAAGGTTGACTTTAAGTTTGACTTAACTATGGCAGGCCGTTCATGCCACTGTTTACTCTCACCATTATGATCTTTAGATATCGTATTTTCCTTCAATAATGAATTATCCAAAAATGTAAATTTTGTAGATTTGTGACCATGATTAAATTTTGTACATCCTTTGAGAGACCAATGTTAGTTAATTGTGAGAGCAAACAGTGGCATAAACAGCTTGCCATAGTTAGGTCCAACTTCAAGTCGATCTTAGTCTTTGTGAAACACCCCTGGTCCATTGCACAATAGACAAGTTATATTAAAGCTTATCTGCCATAGTTTACAGGAGGGATGAGACCGCCCTGCAAGGTCACTGGACAGGTGGTTATCTCATCAACTCAGTTCTCAGTTAACATAAGAAAAAGAGGATCATGGGGGACCAATTAGGCATTGTTTGTTATATAGAGGGCGCAAGTAGCTACAAGTAGTGCAGTGGGCCTTTAACTGTGAAGCAAGATGGCTGATATTTGACCTTGTTTTATTGTTGACTTTCTAGACCAAACAAAGTGATTTGTGAGGATGCTAATCATACCAAGTGGTTGTATCTCGTCATGTCGGTAAGCTTCAAATAAATCTGTCTTTCTCTTTCTCTCTCTGTTCGACCTTTTTATGATCTTATATCTCCCACTCTGCTCTTTCTCTGCTTTCAAATGTTCCATTTCCTCCTTTCGATATATCTCCCTTCTATCTTCATGGTCTGAAGAAATAAAATCATACACGAGACGTTAAGCATTTCATTATTTTTCATCTCAGAATGAGGCCAATGAAATTATCTTGAAAGACAATGAGTCCCTGAAAAGAAAGTTATCAAAAATATCTTGACTCTCTCAACAGAAATCTAAGACGGACCCCAATAACAATTATCGAATTCCCCTCAAATTTAATTCTAAAAATGAAAGTAATGGTGATTCGAACCCACAATTTTAGCAAATGTAAATTCGCTTTTCGAATTAAAAATTCAACCAATGTGATGAGAGGATATCGTGAATATCCTATTAGATGATTTGAGGAATAGTAATTACGATGGTTAGGATGAAATATGATGATGATGATGATAATAGCAATGATAATAGGCCTAGTAGTAATAGTAGTAATAATGATAATAATACGCATAATTACAATAATAGTACTAATATAATTGATAATAAATGCATAAATAAATACATAAATGAATACATAATAATGACCGTAATAACGATAATAATAATAGTACTAATACAATATTAAAAACATTATTTTGACTATAATTTCATGATAACTTATTTTCAGGGTGAATGTTGCTATCTACGCAAGCAGAACATACCCAAGACCGCAAACCTCAGCAACCGACCTCTGGTAGGAGGTGGTCCTCTAGGGGAGGACATACGCCAAAGGAGACCCTCTCATGCGAACGGTAATTTGATATGATAAATGCAGCCATTGTATGATGTTTGATCGACAAGAAATAGAAAAATAGAAAGAAAATGTGGTCTGACTAGGGAGTTATGAGTGATAAGAGGGGAAAGAGAGAGAGAGAGAGAGAGAGAGAGAGAGACTACTGAGAGAGAGAGAGAGAGAGAGACTACTGAGAGAGAGAAAAAGAGAGAGAGAGAGAGAGAGAGAGAGAGGGGGGGGGGGGGGGGGGTAAGAAATAAAGAGAGGATATAAGAGAACAACACAAAAACAAGAAAAACAAGAGAAAGACAACTGCAAGAAGTTTATGTAAGCTGACATAGTAAATGATGGAGATAGATAGAGAGAGAGAGAGAGAGACAGAGAGAGAAAGAGAGAGAGATGTGGAGATGTTTCCAATTTTTTGTAATTATTTAACGGCATATTATCATCTTTTCATTGTTCATCTTTGAAACCTGAATATTTTGTTTTTGACCGCTTAATAAATTTTATTAAACAAATATGTTTAATTCTTTTTATATCCTGCCACACCCTCGCTCACATCTTCCTGCCCACTCTTCATAACGACATATAATATGTCAATGGAACAGTGATATATGATAACAAGAAGAATTCTTACAAGTTACATGTTTTACATTCCAGCGGTCAATTGATAAAGTTCACGAACTTTTGTTAGAGTGTATTCGTTAGAGTGTTGGCCAACTTTTACTCATATTTCATATCCTTAATATTTCAGAAATGATTGAGATGAGCTTAGCAAGATACGTTGCAAAGCAGCGAACAACTCTCCCTTATTTGCCCGAGGTAAGTGTTTCTTTGATAGTTTAGTGAAATTTATTTCATTCTCTCACCTTTATTTTCATACTGCCTGAAACCATTAAAGTTTTGCTCCATATACGAAGATTTATTCATGATATCTACGGTCAGATTGTAGAAGGCCACAAATCTGTCTTGTCAGATATCTTTTCGCTTCGGGAATGAGATGGCCTTATTCAAAGTTTAAATTGCAAAGTTTAAATTCTAGGACTATACTTTTTGGATTAATTATATCAAACTTCTGTTACAATCCTTCACATGTCATTGGATTATTACGATTGTGACTTTTTTTTATTACTACAGATTAATTTCGATCATTCGATTAACGCTTTTCAAAAAGATTTCGGTTTCTCTGATCAAAACTGATCATTTTTATTATCATGCAGCATTTTCCTAGTTTCCATTGTCATAAATCAACGTGATTCTGTCGGTGTATACATGACAAAACCCTGATAATTGTAATATATATTTGTTAATTATATCGCACTTCCCAATGTTATGAAAATCTGCCAGTAGAGATTTTGAATATATATTTAGAATATGCACTTTCCCGTAATAAAAAAAAGTAACAACTCGGGTGACGGAGGTTATGAAACAAGCCGATTCAGAAAAAGAAAAAACGAATTTCCAATTTTCATAATTTCCAAAGAAAAAATATCTTATTTATCAGCGCACTTCCCCCCTAATTAAAGCAGCATCTCGGTTGAGGAAGGATGTTTCTTAAGTACCGGTAAGCTGATTCGGAAAAAATATCACGTTTTCTTCATTAAAAATAGAAGAAAATTTCTTATCATAATTATCGCAATGTTGCCCTGCGTTCAGGTGTTCATTAAAACAAGAATTCTTCTAAACATCTTAATGAGCACGAAGTCGTATCACTGACGTAGATAATAATGAACCAAGATACTGTGTGACGCAGCAACGTTTCCGCAATATCCGTACGGTGTTCCATAACGGAAGGCAATGATGCAACTAAAAGCAAGCAAATACATGTATTTCATAATTACATCATGTTGAGAATATCACCTTTATTTATCTTGGTATCTTTAATAAAAAACAATAACAACCAATAAATGAAGATGTTCAGTTGGAGAGTTCGAAATCTACAATCAGTTTGCCTATATGGCTACCCAACTATGCAGATATGAAGTATTGCAGTTCTGCAACAAAGATATTTTACGTAACAAAATGAAAACGCCCCTGCATATAAATATAATAGTTAAATCTTTGCCAAATCAGTCTGAAGAAGGAAGTTGGACTTCCGGAAATGCATGTTATTTATCAATAAACAGTTGAAAGTTATAAAAAATGGAACTCGCAAGAATTCTTATTTTTATATCTCTAGATGTACACACATGAATATGGTTATCTTTTATTCCTAGATCCGAACTTCTATTGCCGAGGACGCGGGGCCCACGACCAACAACCCACACGGTCAATCCATCGGACTTCCGCCCATCTCAAGGGAAGATACGAGATCCATATCTCCGGTGAGTTTCTATAATGTTTAGTCCCGAAGATAGAAGTTTTATGTTTTATATAAAAAGGGACGATGGTTACATCACCCAAAGAAAACGTCCAAGTCCTAAACTCAAGGCAATTACAATACTTTCTTTTACATTGGCGTTTCAACAAAGGGCACAGTCAGTGCCGGCCCTTCAATCACAAGGCGAACAAATGAAATAATGTGCCCTTCAATACCCGGACCAATGTTTTAACACTGCTCTTTCTTTGCTCAAAGAAATTATGTTCTTGTTACGAAATACATGCGTTGTTTTGGTTATGTAATATGTAATTGTATTCTTCTCACAGTCGTCACGTCGAGCCAGCACGGTGTCCTACAATCATGACCTTCCCGCCCTCGCCCGCCACAACGATATCGTAGAAGACCCGCTACTCTCTTCCGAGAACCGGTCGAGGTCCAGACAGCGCCGAAACAGCATGTTCCTTACGGAACGTAGCCGTACGGATGCCTCTATTTCACGAGCGCAGACACGACAGCGTACTCAAACGTTCCCTTTAGGCGGGAGAGGAGCCCGGGGAAGGAGACAGAAACGGGTGTTCCTTCGGCTCGGGAAACTGCAACAGGGTGACATATTTGTAAGTTATAAATGACTTGTAGTCTATAATCGCCTTTTCTTGTGTGCAGTTTTGTGAACTAAGAAAAAAAAATATTTTCGGAGCTTCGGTTACTGGTAAAAGTCATGTTTTTCAATTTCTTGCAAGAACTTACTATAATCATAAAAGATCTAGTAAAACTTAATATTTTGGTTAGGAAATGTGGTAAATGGCCTTCAGTAGATATGTAATGCTATCAGTCGTTAGCAATTTCCGTAATGTAATGAAAGTCTTATGTCACAAATTGTGTACAGTCAATACACAATCACAAAATAACACAACTTTTTTATTTATAATTTTTCCCTCTGATGTCACCAATAATTCTTGTCTTAACCGTGATCACATTTTACAGGGGTTGAATGAAGTTGCGGAAACTCTGCAAGTGGAATCGTCTGGCGTGAGTGTGGTAAGTGTTAGGACATCCATTATATACAAGCCTCTTAAACCTCTCAAACAAGAATAATCACGTTAGATCCTTCATTACAAGGTAAAATAATAATACATGGTGTAAAAAAAAGAATGCTGCAGAATTTGAATGTACTTGATGTACTCTTAGTAAATTCAAAGTGTTTTTCTCCTTCCTTGATCATTCCTTGACACGATTCTTCTAAAAAAATTAGTTTTCATTCTCTTAAACGGGACTGCAATACTAGTGGCTACTTGCGCCCTCTATATAGCCGACAATGCCTAAGCGGTACCCGTTGATTCCCCATGATCCCCTTTTTCTTATGTTAATTGAGTGCTGATTTGAAGAGATAACCACCTGCCAACAGTGACAACGCAGGGAGGTTTAATCCATTCTTGCCAAAATAGTGCCTGTAATGCATGTATTTTAAACTGATAAATTAGACAACTGCATTCACCATTTTAATTAATCGTATGTTAGATAAGAATTACGATCTTGGCAATATCAAATCACTGCCCTGCAGTGCTGCCCTGGTGATTAATTGATGTACTTACTTTTTTTGCAGTTGAGTAGATGTGAGCTCCTCTGTTTATAGGACTGCCCCTATCGCAAAAATTGGCCTATAATTCCATCTTGTACCGGTGTGTTGGCTCAGTCAGTAGAGCGTCCGCCTCACAACCGGGAGGTCGTGGGTTCGAACCCCGGCCGCGTCATGCCAAAAGACGTTTAAAGACGGGAGTTGCTGCTACCTCGTTTGGCGTTCAACAATAAGGGGATAGAGCAACGTCGATCTGGCGCTGCTCAGTGGCTGCCGGGCTCACGATCAATTGGGCAAAAAGAATTTCCATTTGCGGTTTAATAAAATTTGGAGTGGACTTTAAACGATTATTATTATTACGATTATTATTATAACATGTCAAGCGTGATAAATAAAATGAAAGACTGGAAGAAAGAAGTGAAATTTTGCTGTGCATTATAATATTCGGGGGAACTTTTTTAAACAAGGCCACCATGAGATTTTCCTTTGTTCTCCTATTTCATTTGAAGTTATTGTATAAACTGAACATTCTTTGTATGTATAGATACTTGTATGTTTGTTTGCATTTGCTGTGTTTTTTATGAAAATAAAATGAATAAACGAACGAACGAACGAACGAATGACCTTTGTAGATGAAAATTTAATTGGCTGAGTACATTTGAACTATTGGGAAATGATTGGAAATTGCTCATGGACGAATTTTGTTTCGTTAATATTGCGCAATTGCGAGCCAGCCCAATTATTTACAGATAAATTTCGACAGCTGGTCATTCCAGCAGTCTCTGTGTAGGAGAGTCCCCAAAATGTCAGTCAAATTGGTTTTCTGCTGCTTAATTGATGTATATAATGTGAAAATATCATCTGGAGCTACAAAATGCAAATAATTATTTCCTTATGTTTTTGCAGGTTAGTGGAGGGTCCGAGGTAATTGCCATTAGCAAACGCTTTTTCCGCCAGCATGCCGGTGTCATGACTCTCCTCAAACTTGAAAGCATGGTAAGTGGCACCCTAAAATATATTGACACTTGGTCTTATGATGAAGTGCTTTACTGTTTATGACGGGATGCAATGCATGGCTGTTACGGGGTTTCAAAATTACCCCCTTATTTCGCAGAAAACAAGAAATTTTTCTAAACTTATGCGCCTGTTAACATGAAAACTAAGGAATGTGTCGATTGTAAAACATTTGCGGGGCATTTTCAAGGATTTTTCAGTAATAAGGAAAATTTCTTTATGCGTGTTTCAACTCGCAAACAAGATGCTCAAGGATGATCTACTTGCAGGAAGAAGAAAAACAATTCTGGTAGTGCAGAATTTTGGTCTCCCCAAATGACCACTAATTATTTCATGTCACATATACGGATACGGATCATGTCACATCATCCTAGATTTTGGTCGTTCTTACCGCGAAATTAATCGCTAAGCAGAGCTCTGGCGCTAAGGGCGGAAAAGCGCCCCTTTCTAAAAAATTCGAGAGAAAAACACTGCCTACCTAATGTGAAGGGGAGGTGAGCTTACCGGGAATGAAATATATGAGCCATCGTTTTCTGATGGAGTGCCCGTCTGTTTATATGGCTGTCTCGATGGCGAGTACGAGCCCATAATTCCTTTAAAATCTGTCAGGTGCGACAGGAAAGGGGGGAAATAAGGAAAGAAGGTTTATAAACTTTGCATCAACTGCCTTGCTTCGTTTTTCATTTGAAGTTAAATTTGAAGCAGCTGAATTTGAAAACTAGCTTTTGGTGATTAAGGCTGATTACAGCCTTATGCTCATTTTTATTTCCTCTCTACCCTTCTTTTTCCCTTCCCTATATTTCCCACTTTACCTGGTTGCTCTAATTTCCCCCTTCTTTTTATCAATATCGATTTTTCATCGCAAATTTGTTTTCTCCTTTCGTGATAGAAGGATTTCTCTTGAAATATTTTGCATTCAGTTTTATAGGTGCAGGTGGCATTAATTTGATATAACTGTGTGCAAAAACTATGTCTTACATAATTGGGTGCAAATATTATATCTGAAATGTTTGATTGGATACTGTCATTCCCTAATTTAAATTAAAATTTCCTTACGTCGCTCATGTCAAAAATAAATGTGTATCATCATCTTTATCTTTAAAAAATTACAGCTGCAGGAATTTGTTTCAGAGGAAGGTGCAAAAGATATTTTGCGTGAGGAGAAAACGTGGAAGCGATACAAGGAGGCGCTCGTCAGCAAAGTTGCAACGAAGAAAGCCGAAAGAAGTTCCCGAGACAGGAGAGGGATCCGAGTCAAACTCAACCCGCTGGCGCAGACGTTATGACGAATGGCTGACGAACATTTCCGAGTGTAACCGGTTATTTACGGAGCTACAGATGAAAACAGAGGCACTGTACTCGTCAGCAAAGTAAATGCGAATAAAGCCGAAAGACCAGAGGAAAACAGCGCAAAAGTTATGACGAAGGCTTAACGAAAATTGCCGAATGATCGACGATTACAGACGAAATATCATTCCGAATGAAATGAATAATTGATATGGCGTAAAAGTAGGCCAAGCCTATAAGTCATACCATATAAAATATAATGCATGTCTTGTTGTAAATCACATGTGCTGGTGGCTGGAGCCGGTACTATGATGATGTTTGTTTAACAAAATAATGAGCTAGGTGCTTTTATTTTCTAACAAAATAATGATAGAAATAAACCCTTACCCAGTTTACTATCATAATGCCAGATGATGAGCAATGCAGACTAATGTATAATTTATTCCCAGAATAATATTTTTGAACATGTTAAACAATTATTCCTTGCATTTTTATTTTAAGCGAATCCTCAGGCTCATTATACCTTTTTTATGGAAATAATGAGAACACAAATTCTCGTTGTCCTACGTTTTCTTGGTCTTTCAATGCATGAACATGTATGATATATCATTGGAAAGACAGGTGCCAATTATGATTTAAACTGTGCAACTGAATATGATTAATTCTCATTGTTCATGGATAATGTTTCACTACAACAGCTTAAGTTGTTTACACTTTTCCTGTTGAGTAACGGCAAATTTATGTGGTGGTGCCCAGTTTCTACGCAAATATTTCAGAAATTCAATCATTCAGACAATTGTATTAACAAAATTAAAGATCATTCCCTTCAAATGAGTGTATTCATTATCAAGAGTATAACTAGTATCAGCAGGGATGCTTCTGCATATCGCCATCAGTAAACATAAAATAAGACCGGCATTTCCTTGGTCATGTTTAGTTCCAGTTCTTCAAAATTATTGTAAGAATATTTTTCATTATAAAGCGATACTGAACTGATTTTTCGCGGAAGTTAATATCCAGGTATGATAAATAAGTATATTTTTGCAATATTCTGTTTGTATATTTAGACAAAAGAAGGGTGTAGTAGTCGCTGTGAAATGATACGAATAAATTTAGTAAAGTACACAAATGCAGTATGATGTGCTATTGTTTATCATGACAAGAGCAGAACGTGAGAGAGAGAGAGAGAGAGAGAGAGAGAGAACAGTAACAGAGAAAGAGAGCGCCAATAACTGGTTCGAATACCTATATGAGAAGGACTTCCTCCTGCCTGCCTCTACCTCCTAAACAACAAACAAACAAACAAACAAACAAACAAACAAACAAACAAAAAAGGAAATCTATATTGCAGACTGGGGTCGAAACAGTTTATTGTGTAATGGATGTGGGAATACTTAACACAAAAATACATCTGTGTATACCTATTTACATCAAATTAACTATCCTTCAGTGTTTCTTAATTATTCAGACCAAAAGTTAGTTTTTAACGAAAAAAGATTCATTGCCCTTTGCTTGTTTTAGATAATGCGGAATTTTACCTCCTTTTTTTGTAAATCTTTACCAAGGTTATTTTTTTGTCTTTGCAGAAGCCTCAATACGTTTGGCATAAATGCAAACATAAGAAACTTGTGCAAATATTTATATGAAACATTTCTTTGTATTCTAGTGGTTGCACATAATATGGTAAAGGTCTACATTTTTTGTCATAATGATCCAGTGAAGACTATATCCACGATGCAAGTCGATGTGCTAGTGCCCTTATTAAAGTGTATTTGCACACATTGAAAGAATGAACGGGAAGGGGGGGGGGGGGGAGGGCAGGATGCCAATTGCCCATCCGCTATTGTTTTGTACAAATTGTGGACCCTCCAGACACACAAACACCCACACGCTCACTTAAAGCCCCACTCCCTCAACCCTCACACACTATGATCGTCAACATGAGAGAAACGCTGTTAATTACTGTCTGCCCCCATTTATCCCAAACTTTTTGGATTTGAGGGGGCGCAGACATACTTTCACAATATCGTATTGAATAAGAAAGTTGTGACACGCGCCCACAATTCCTGGGAGGAAACTATTTTAAGCTCCATGAACTGATCTTTGATCGCGTACGTGTGCGCCTGTCAAAATGACCTCTCTCATTACGCTATGGCTTCCACCAATATTATTTTGATGGAGACGCCACTGTCACTATGCAGCTTTTTTGTAAACATGAGAACTTAGAAACAGAATTAAAGAGCAGAATTTATCACGTGCCCCATGTCGGCAACCTTTCCTTCGCTTCTTTTTTATGACACCAAGAAGCAGCGGCTCCAGAGTAAGCTATTTTGTAGGGACAAAAAATCTAACAAATAAAATAAAAGAAGGGTAAAAAAAGAGCACCTTCAATTTTTTTTTTTAGAAGCGTGGTATGGCTCAAACATTTTGTGGGAGGGGGGGGGGGGAGGTTGTCGATTTTTATCAGGGAGGTGTTAAGAATATTATACAAGAGCACCTACCCTCCCCAGTAACCCTTGGTAACGCCGCCCCTAACGCCATTAATCATGACCATGAATGTCAAGGGTTATAATCAACAATCAAGCATCACAACGCCCCTCTAATCAACAATGTGGGTGGAAATTGATGTACGTTCGCTTGTCTCGTTCGGTTCAAGTAATTGCTAAGCAGAAAAACTGAAATCTCGCCTGATTTAGAACATAAAAATTAAGGATACCTTTCAATTTCAAATTTCATCAGTTTGTCTAGCCACGATTATGGGCGACATAAGTTTGAAGCAAGTCGGGCAAACCCCTAGCTTTCAGAAGTATTTGTAAATAATAATAGTAATGTTATGATTAATGTGAGACGGAGCGGGAGGGAGAGAGATAAATAGTAAGAGATAGATAAAGAGAGATGTGGAGAGGGCTATAAAGAAAGGAAAGAAAGGGAGGGAGAAAGAGGGGAGACGGAGAAGGATGGGAAGGATAAAAAGGACTGTGAGAGAGGTGGCCGGAGAGAGAGAAAGAGTATGTGGGAGATGTGGATAGTTGTGTGTGAGTTGGAGTGTGTTGGAGAGAGAGAGAGGGAGAGAGAGAGAGAGAGAGAGAGAGAGAGGGAGAGAGAGACAGGGAGAGAACACACACAGAAAGAGAGAGAGATAATAGTAAAAGAGGGAGGGGATAAAGAAGATAAAGAGAGGGTGATAACAGAAAGATGGAGAAGAATGAGGGATGAGGGAGGATCTTCAGAAAGGAGGATGGATGTTGGTTAACGCGGAGATGGAGATTATCGCCGGGATGAGTCAACATACAAATATATCGGGTGATACATCTCGATCAGTATTAGTAGAACCCTACTACTTGGCCTACTTCAGCGAATGGGCGATCCAATCTTAAATTTTCCCTCGTCATTAAATGCTTAACGAGAAAATTCCTCTTGAACAGCTCCATCAAAAGGGGTCGAGAAATCATTGTAACGCATGGCGTCCGCAATCTAGATACATTATTGCTCTTATTAGGCAAGTTGACTCCCAAACGAGGCCCGTAAATACTCATTGTGATTGAAAGGATGTCATTATTGCGCCCCGAGCTCAAGTTGTTTCCAAACAAAATAAAGATTTTCCTCTCGAGAGCACCAGTCTGCTCAGACGAAAAATAGACTGTTACCATGATTACAGGACATCTCTTACGAGTGCTATAGAAAGATAAGTATAATATATGCCCTTTCTCAATGTTCGAGAGTATTAAGATAAGTCTCGGGCCACCTATAGAATGTTTTGATGCTGGGGGAAATTCCCCGCATCAGATTTGAGCTTTTTCATGACACACACAATTCAACTTAATTGGCACATCATGACAAAAAATCTTTTGAAATTTCATTTCATTTTTTTCACGTTTTTATTTAATCATGCCTGATTAACAGAATCAATTAATTGACCAAAAAGATTCTGTGATGTTACCGAAATCAATCATATTTGTTATATTGGTCATGACTGCTGCTGGAAATATGAAAACTGATATGAATTAGCCATTTTTCATAAATATCATAGTAGATCTAGACTTGTTCAATGTAGAGGTGACAAGATTGCGAAACCTATTGTTTTCATTGACTTAAATGTGCGCATTTGACACAGAGGCAACTTGAAAGTAATTGAGAGGGCCTGAATCCAAATAGAGACCACAAATACCCCAAATTTAACATAACACATATTGCATAAAATTTAATGGATAAAATAACATAATTCACCTGCAAATTCAAAATTTCATTAGTGCATTTATATTTCAACCTAGCCATTCGGCCTCGGTATATACTCGGGGATCAGATATTTCGTTATATTTCCTGCAATATTTGTATAAATTGTTTAATGAGCTGGCAGTAAAGTACACAATTTATTATTACGATTTACTATATTGGCAGCAATTGTATTTAAGACAAGGTGCTTTATGAAATAATTAAGCCAGAAATATGCTTTTTACATTATGCCACTTTAGATTTTCAACCTTAAAGCCGATATTAGTTCGCATTTATACTGCAAACAATTATAACCAGTCGATTTGATAATATTTACAGTGAAACCAAGATGTGTTTGGGTCGATGATGCTTCAAGACGCCACGAAAATTGCGATCCCTGAAGACAAAAACGAAGGGATTCAAAGCTGCGTTGCTATATGCGATGATCTCAAACGCGGTTCGCAGATAGAGCATCGTTGATGGAGTGGTCTTCAAGTGAATCTCAAGAAGAAACTTGATGGAAATCGGGAGCCAGCACACAGCGAAGACACACAGTACGAGGAGCGTGGTCTTGGTCGCTTTCATCTGAGGGGTGTGGATTTGGATGGGTTTCCGCCCGCCATGCGCCGCTCGCTCGATGACAGCGATCCGCATCACCTGTCGCCTAGCAACGCGGAAAATGATCCAGTAAATGAGACTGAGGACGAGGAGACAGAGAGGCGGGAGGATGGCTGAAGTGTAGAACATGATGATGTTGTATGCAATCGCAGAGCAATGCGAGATCGTCTGGTCATTTCGGCTGTACAGTGGAACCAGACCAAAAGAGCAAGACATGACCCAGTTAAATGCTATTGTCCCTGCGATCCTCTTCGGTGTCACTACACTGATGTACTTTAGGGGCCTGGTAATGCAGATATACCGGTCAATGGCGATAGCAATCAAATGCATGACAGAGACGCAATGAAGGTAGAAAGCCATCATGAAGAACCACAGGTGCGTTTCTCCTGAGCATGTGCGAACATTCTGGACGACTCTTCCGTAAGCACCCGACGGAAGAGCCACCGTCCCCGTCAACAGATCCGCCACGGCCAAACTAGCAATCAGGTAGTAGGTCGGCTTGTGCAGACGACGCTCTTGATACACCTTGACGATCACGAAAATGTTACCAATCAAGGCCACGAAACCGATGACGAAGTAGAGCAGAGACGATATGACAAGGAAAGCGATGGATGGATCACTGATGTAAAGATCATTTGTAGGAAATGTCGACATGGTGGAGGGAATCGTGGGCGAGCATCTTGAGAGTGTCAAAGCATCAATCTCGTTTCCATTCATGATTGTTTAGAACAGATGTCACCGGAGGAAGATTTGTTTTCAATCAGTCATTGATGTTGCGGCAAGGGGTAGGCTCTACCAATAATTTCTGGCACGGTTTAGTCCGGAGAGATTGTGTACAATCGCTCCCCCGTTAACAAAACGATGCTGCTTTCATTGCCAACGTGGCCAATACAAGAAAAATAATTTTATTCGAAAACAGTGATCGTCATTTTATCAGAAAGGATTGCTAGAATTTGATAGAACTCTAGCATCAATGATGAGTGGTCCTCTTACTCCCTTGCAAAAACAAAGATGATATCGTCTAATGGTTTGAGCATAAGTGCTGTCGAATAAAAAAATCAATTTGTGGAGACTTTTATGAGGAATATACCCCCCCCCCCTCCAAGAAAGTGGCAATCATTGTATCAGGTTCCATAGCATTCCCCTATTTCATTTTTATCATATGATGCCCTCTTTTTTCTCAATTTAATTTGTGTTAACATTTCACGACTGAGTAGTTGACTCAAGACGAAAATTGAGAGGAAACAGTAAAATACAAAATATAATTATTACATTAACCGATGCCGCATAAGAAAGGTTATTACATAACTATAAGAGCACAAACAACAAAAAACCCATTTGCCACATTGTTTGAGATTGTCAGCCTCAATTATTAGTTATCTCGCAACTTGAAAGCATTTGCACTTCGTGTGCATTTGCATTCAATTAGATATAATCTAAACGGTCTTCGTCTAGGCATGTTCTGTGACGTTTTACCAATGCAGTATCAGCATCATTAAAGTGATGTTCTTTAAAAAAGATGTGAAAGAGTTTTATATAACAATATAGAAATGCATACACGATACATGATTACTTTCAGTGCATTGTCAACGAAAGAAGTTGCGGTAGAGTATAATATTACAACGAAATATCGCACTCACAATTACGTGCACTCACACCAAACGACTTTTGTACTTCTCAAAAAGAAAGTGATAGGGTCATATTAAAAAGCCTTTGACTTGATATACCTTTAAATACGTTTATTCAATTAATATAATACTTGTTATTAATCGAAATACTTACAAAGCATGCATGTATTGGTCGAACATCTAGAAATTAAAGAGAAATGAAAACGTGAAACGACCAGTGCAACTACGTAAATATATTTGACCCCAATGTTTGTCAAAGTTGTTATGTAACCTAGCTGTTTTTTGCGTATGCAGTATGCTGTCTTTTGGGAAATGATAAAAGTGCATGAGGATTATATATCATTTGTTTAATTGTAACAAGTGTCGTTAAATATCGTCTGAATTTAAAGGTATTACCAATGCGTTTGTGTCTAATAACAATACCTGTACACACTTTAAATGAGCGTAGTTATTTGGTACTTCTCTGCAAATAATTAAAAAGAGGAAAATACAAAATTCAGTTGGCTAACGATAAATTACTTAAATTTACGTGGGAGTATGTGGAAAGGAGCTCCTCATGTAATTAGTGCTTATTTTGGCTCTGGAAATCGATATAGAAACAAGAATCCATAATAGGGTTATTAAATAAAATAGGAATGGTAATACGTGCAAAATGATGCTAATGTAACAAAATGACTTAAAGGGGAAGTCCACCGGTTTTAATCAAAGTAAGAAAGTGAGAGAAACAAATTAGTTAAAATATAAGCAATATCAGCAGGAAATTTATTAATTTTTGAAGTTGTCATCAGTGAAACACGAATTGGCAACACTACGACGTATTTTGCGAGCTTCTCTCCAATTTTCTGTACACAGAAAATTTCATCAACTTTCATTTTCTTCTTCATTGCTCAAACTTTTATTGACCTGTTTCTATAGTTTTTTTTCTTCTATTAAAACCAACTTAATATCAAGGAGAATATTAAGGAGGGCTTCCTTTTTAACGGTGGGAAAAGCAAGCGCGACCAAACTATTTTTGTGTGTATTACAACATAATTCTGAAACTGCCTCTTATCAAGATGATGCTTTAAATCACATTCAATTAATATTTCTATTGCTGCATTGAAACAACGACATCACGTACATGTTTCCATACCGCACAGATTGTAAGGTCAATATAATTATGTTCGTGTTTTACATAGATATTTGTTTAAAACCACAATTAAAAGATTACATTTAAGTTTGTTCCCATCTGATCAATGTCATTGTTTTATTCCTATGGACTTTTCCTTTATTGTTTCGTGGTAGATACGTAAAGAATAAAGAGTTCATGACGCTGTTCCTCAATTTATTTAGTTGCAATATTTCCTTAATTTTTTTCCTCAATTTCTGTCATAAAGTCTCGTCAACGTATTTGTCTTTTCTTGGAATATCCAAGAAAACATTGTTCGATTGAATGATAAATTGAAAGAGACCTATTTTTCTCCCGTTTCTAATGGTTTGTATTCGGTCTGTGATTTTTTGCCTTCTCCTGGGAAAGCAAAAGACGGGAGCGCAAATTGCGTTTATCACTTAGCCTAGATGTCTTTGTCATTCTGTCGTTTGCATTTCATATCTTCCGTATTTTTCTTCTTCTCCCCTTCTGTCCCACAAATATTCTCCGGCCTGAAAATTTCTTTTGCTTCTGCGTCTGTCCTTCATTCCCATTCCTCTTTTCTTTCCAAAATTCTGTTTACTCTTTTAAAAACTGAAAGAAAGAACATTTGAAGTAGAAAATCTGTGGGACTACGATTTCTTGGTAAAAAGTGTTTGCTTACTTTATGCCTATCCCGTAATGCGTCGTGGTACAGAGCTGATAATCTTAAAGAGAAGGTCGAGTTCTGCAAAGATGAAAATTAGTTTGTGACCTGATACTATCATCTAGATCTATTAGGAATAAATCATTATCAAAATCATTCCATGACTCGGGGTAAAAATAATTATTCCACCATTGTGACCAAAAGTGTATATAGGTCAGATTTGAAGAATATCGTATAAGTAGATCATATTACCTGAACAAGTTGCTCTTCAAGTGCCCTCATATTCAAATAGGAAAATAAATAGCATAAAAGCTTGAACTAAACATTTATGCCAAGATGCATTCGTATGACAAGAATTCAAAAACAACTTTATCTTTAAACGATAAGATGAGGTCCATTAGTCCAAATATGACATCTTCCAGATATTACCAAATCGGGGTCAATGCTTTTTTTTATTCCTGTAAGACGTACTTAGAGGAATAAATGTATAATCGAAATGGCAGGATATGCGAAATGGGTAATTACTATACCATTTGATTGATATTTCCCCCGAAAAATGACAGCTACCATGTTATTTAGGTCGAACATAAGTCTCACTTTGATGACGAGCTTGCTCTCATTATTAAAGTCTGGTTAGTTTCTTTATACATCGTCCGTTCGGAGCCAGAAGAGGTTAAAGCTTAACTTGAGCTCGGGTATACTTTAAATGTCCATCGCATGTCGAGAGAACATGGCTATAATTCATTCTGGATTGTTTATCCTGAAGAAGATTGATTGCTTGAACTAGTAAAATAAAAACAACCTCTCAAAAACTTGCTGGAAATCATCTTCAATGAAAACCACGACTCTCATTTGCATATAGTGATCTGTGTTAAGCACATGGCGTCGCGGGCCTACTTACCTTGATTTCCTTATCTTTCTATGCTCACTACTTAGCCTCTATACCTTTTCTATTAAAATCGTTTGGCACCTGTCATTTATTTATGAACATTCTGTGTAAGCTGTGTTGGATTCCGTGAGAATTTATTTTCTTTCGTTACCAGAATTCAAGCTTATCTTTAACTGATATTATTTTATACAGAGTTAATGCCTTTCTGGCTACAAACAGACAACGTGTTAAAGTTAATCATTAACTCGTTGATTAAACGCTACCAGCAGACTTTATATTCATTTGTTTGCACTGCAGTTCTGTAAAGTAAACACTAATACAGTCTACGCGCGTTTACAGCTCGTTCAAAATCACTGAAAAAATCCCCTGTGCATCTTCCACGAACAAAATGGACGCTATATTGTACAGCATGATAGTAGTGACAATCAAAGAAATGTGATGTTTTGTGTTCTTCTCACTTGCAAGAAATATCAAGGTCTTCCTATGGCTGGCAATTCTGGATGAATTGTGTTATACATTGAGCAATGCGTGCTAACGTATAATGCGAATCATACTGACGCCATTTTGACATCGAGCAATGTGTACTTTGAAACAATATAAATTTGACCCTTGGAAGGAGTTGGAATGGACGTGTTTGAACTATTTTTCTCGACTAGACTCTCCATCAACTTCCATTAGTGGATACCAGATATTTGATTGGGGATAGATGGTGCCGTTTTTACGATTGAAATCAGTGAATTTCAACTCTCCTAGCGTGTAGAATTAAAGGACGGTGTTTCGGTGCAAGATATATTTCGATTAGTCCGTACGATGTCAGATAATTCTATGTGCCAATCAAATATCTTTTAAGATATCTTAAACTTAGTGTAGGCCTAAATGTCTCTCGGTCTTGGTGATGAAGATTATGCGAAACACAGTACCAGACTGCACACTTGAATCGTACACATACATGTTAAATTATATAGTATGTGAGCAGATCTAATCATACGCTGTAGACAATTTTTAGAACATAGGCTTATATTACATGCAGCTATATAATTATATGTATCATGTAGCACATTGGTGGTGAACGGTATGAAATGATAGTTACAACACTGACAAAGATGGATCAGAAGAAAGCATGGGTTATGGTCATTGTGCTGGCAGGATGCGTCCTAACCCTCCTGCTTCGAAAGAGTGCCAACGTGGTGGAGAACGGACCAATGCTTGTCCATCTTGACATGCCAGACGATCTTGCCAACATGTTTGGAGACACTCGGTTACTCGAAGACTCTGACGTGCAGAGCTTGCCAACACCAGAAGATAATGCAGCCGAGGATGATCCATTTAGATATACTGGCAAATCAAGCGTAGCGGATTTGATGTTGAAGAGTTTGCATGGATCATCGGTACTGACGGCCCTACAGAACTCTGATTCTGATGGGGACAACGGTACAGTCTATGACGAAAGTTCTATAGCTGATATTTGGAGAGAGGAAGATATGGACAATGGAACGTGGAAGATATTCGAGGAGGAGTACCAGAAAATTGATTGGAGGCAGAACAAGGATGGGTTCAACCGATGGAGGTGATAATCACGACGTGAATTATTATAATTATGTAGTTTATGAGAATATATTAATTCGTTTGTTGAGGTTACAAGACTCATTAACCCGTCCGTTATTGTTCAAAGGTCAAGCAAGACTGCTATAAACAGTTTTAGAATGTTATAGCCTCTGCATCTGATTCTTTTGTAGATCATTGTGATTTGAAAGAGGGGGCCTAATTTGGCCAATCAATCTTATACATGTAGCTTTTACATCGTTTCAACTTTACGCAACTTGTTTGACTAGCAAAATGTTGTGTGTACCTTTTACCACTTTCTAATTAACCTTTCTATAAGACCTAGTATCGGGGTTTGCTACATACCACTTTTGTCAATATACAAATATGCTGTATGAGATGGGTTAATCATTCACTTTACTTTCATGGAAACAGGGCGGAGCTGGTGACGTATGGTGTGGACTCACGCAATAGTTTCTTGGTTACTCATGATTCCGTAGAGGTCAAACGAGTTCTTCCGTTCTACATCAGTACTCAACATTCTTATACCGTCAGTGAATACTTCATGTCTCTTATTCCAGAGGTATGTTTGCTGCAGAGGACATATAACCATTTTTTAAAATTTAAGTTTATGTTAAGGATTGAAGGGAACAAGTAGAATCATCAAGAAGGTGAAAAGGGTCCACAACGAGGCTCAATAGCTATTTCAAAAGAAAAATTATCGTCTTTAAAAAAATCGAACTATGTATACATAATGCAGATGAAAAGTGATATCAGTACAGTTCATGTTTATTTGTCCAGATTCTCTTTTGTAAAATACAATTCTAAACAGTGTAATGGATATTATGATATCGAAGTGCATCTACAACAATAATTGATGTAAAATCTAGTCTTCACAATGATAAGATTTGAATCGTGTATTTTTGTTAATTTCTGAAATACTGTGAATGTAACTTTGAGTTTTATACTTTGCGATTTTTTGTGAAGAGTCTTCAGGTCATGAGCTTTTAGCGGTTCATATCCCTTAAAATATGTTCTATCATGGTAAAGATTTTCGCTAGATATTTGGTAGGCATATGTAATTAATCAATGCCCTCAATGGCACTGCAGACATCATTCATTATATTTATCAATAAAGATGAAAGTGAAAATTAATTGACAATTAAGGTACTTAAAGACAACAGCGACAGCGCCTGAATGTGTGCGCGTATGTGCGTGCCTGAGTGTGTGTTTATTTTCATGTAACATTTTAATTCGAAACACATATAACAAAAGATATGTCCACTTTGAATATCAAATGTTTGTAAATGTGATCTCTCTGACATATTTCTGCTCCTGTTTTTCTTATCCCAGTCATCCCCTTACAGCGGGAAGAGTTTAGGAAGGTGTGCAGTGATGGGGAACAGTGGTAACCTCAGGAATAGTGGATGCGGGAAAGAAATAGATGCAGCTGATTATGTATTCAGGTATGTTATTTTGTTCATAAATGAAAGAGAAGTCCACCCTGATATTAAGTAGGTTTTAATAGAAGCAGACAAATGAGAGGAACAGGTCAGTGAAATTTTGAGCAAATTCGGATTAAAAATAAGAAAGATATGAAGTTTGGAAGTTGTGATCAATCAAACACAAACTTGGCAACTCTGTGATGTATCTTGGGAGCTCCCTTCCCATTTGCTTTGTACTAAATAAAATATTTTTTTTCCCTCCATAAATTTGCAATCATACATTGCAAATGTGGTTCTTTTCAACCCATGTATGGACAAAATGTATTCCGTTATCAATAATGAAGAAAATGAATGTTTATAAAACCTTATGCAAATTAGGGTGGACTCCCCAATTAAAGATTGTGTCAGTCCTGTACATTAATGCTCCACAATGTTTTTTTAAAAGAGGCCACTGTATACATGTTGTCTTTTTAGAAATAAAGATATGGCCACTGAAATTTGATTGACAAAACATGGTCAGTAAAATTAATACAACCCACAACTTTATCTCCGTTTTTGTCAGGTTTGCAATTATCATTATTCTAATTTAAAGCGGATGGGAAATTTTGCATCACTGAAAACTGAATGTGCTACAACAAAAGGGATTAAGACATTTGTTTACTCATAATATTTCATTTTAAAATAAATGATTCATTTATGACTATCATTCCTCTCAATGATATTTACTATTTTTTAAGACATCTAGAGCAAAGCCTAATTATATTTCTAATAACCCCTTTCTCTCTCTCTCTCTCTCTCTCTCACTCTCTCTCTCTCTCTCTCTCTCCATCTCTCTCTCTCTTTCTCTCTCCCTCTCTCTCTCTCTCAGGTGCAACATCCCTCCTCTTCGTGATTTCGAGAATGACGTCGGGTTGAAGACGAATCTAACAACAATGAACCCAAGCATGCTTGACACTAAGTATGTTCATTTTCCCCTAAGTTACTACATGGTTCAATTACCTGATTTCATGGGCGGTACCAGATTATTGTGGGGGGGGGGGTATAGGTACCTGTTCTCAAAAGGTGCTGATACCAAGAGAGAAAAGAAAACACGAATGAGTTGGTCAAGATTTCAAGGGGGAGCAAGTCTCAAACTTTATGCAAAGCAAAAGAAAAAGGAAAGGAAACAAGCCTGCTCTTTTGTGGAGGGGGAGTGTTGACCTTTTATGTCCCTTTTACACTACACATGCTCAATTTTTGTTCTCTTTTGTTGAGAAAGGCATGGTAGATGGGTATTCAAAAGAAATAGTTTAACAAATCATTTCAAAATGATAAAACTGTGATTATTCTGTGAAAATAAGATAATCAATACGTAATTGTATTTGCTACTCCCTTTATCTTACAGGGAATACGGGACCATCGCCATTACCCGAGATATCGACTACCCGTACAACTTAGTCCTAGCGCCTTACAACGGTGTCATCCTACTTCCTTGCTTTAGCCATTTCTTCTACCTGCGCAAGTGCATTAAAGCCATCAAACAGTACTACCAGAAGAACGCGAACATGACATTCCTTCATCCTGAGAACTTCATGGCTATATGGGAATACTGGAAGGATCGGCAAATGACCAACCTACCTTCAACAGGTGTGTAATGTTGAGAACACCTTCATTAATGATCAAGATTTGGTCTTAATAACAAGGGTACCCATATCAATGTACTTCTCTTCCTGCGGGCAATACACTTATACTTACTCCCAACATTGCCAGATACCCATTTGATATACCTGGGAGTTGATTCACAAAGACTAATATCAACTTTAAGTTGGACTTAATTATGGCAGGTCGTTCATGCCTCTGTTACTTTGCTCTCACCATTATGATCTTTAGATAATTTTTATCTTTCAATAATGAATTATCAGAAAATGTAAATTCTGTAGATTTGTGACCATGATTTTGTACGTCCCTTGAGAGACCAATGTCAGTAAATGAGAGCAAACAGTGGCATGAACAGCCTGCCATAGTTAAACCCAACTTAACGTCGATCTTAGTCTTTGTGAAACATCCTGGGTCGAGAGGAATCAATATGGGTAAAACATCTTGTCCAAGGACGTAAGCACCAAACAGGGATCGAACCTAGGACCTCTCGTATGAGAGTCAAGAGTCTTGGGCAATATACGTGATGCTCCGATATTGTTCGTTACTTTCATAGAATCAGTTCCAACCGACGATCCAATCATTAAAAAGCTCTTTAATCGGGAAATAATGTGTACTGTTAATTAAGACTTGATAGTCCGTAGGGGGGGGGGGGCAAATTCTTTCCAGATCGGTTCCAGAAGGAGAGGCAAAATGTACTTGGCGTGTCGAAGATAATAACGGTGGAAATATAATGTTAATGATATGTGTACATTTAAAATAAAATTGCTTAGCTTTTCATGTTTCGCAAAAAATAACATGCCTGTGTTTGTGTGCTTGTTACTGTGAATTAAATAAAATGCTTTATATTTTGGATTCTTTATTGTGATTGGGAAAAAACGAATTTTAACACCTTGATTCCAATGCAGGATTTTACATCATAAACGTGGCGGTCACACTCTGCGACAGCGTCGATGTGTATGGATTCTGGCCTTTCGATAAGACTGCTTTGCGATCAGGTCAACCAGAGCATGTAATGTATCATTATTACGAGGAAGGAACATGGCGTCCCGTTCACGACATGACTGGAGAATTCAGACAGCTTTTTCAGCTGCATCGAGACGGAGTTCTGCGAATGCACCTAGGAAATTGCACCTCAAGATGACGAATAACATCAAATAAAATTGGACTTTGGTTTTCCTGATGTGAAGAGGCAGATCTGAAGACATTTACCACATATCGTGCCTTAGGTCTTTTATGCATGATTGCAAGAACGGATGTGACACAAAATGGTGTCACTTACTAATTGTCTGATTGTCGGAATTTCTTTCCCAGGCACCTTGACACCTACTGAATTATTGGCGGTTTTGTCACCATCACGACTCTTTGTGTATCATTTTAAGATCTTATGTTCTCTCGAAATCGGATGGTTTGTGTGTAAATATGTAATTAATCTTGAACTTTTTGTTTAAAGTGGGGTTCTAGTCTTCCATAATTATAATACCAACATGCTCAACTATATATAAAAGTATTACATGGACTTTGTTTTTGAACAAATAATGACTTTGACTGTATTCCGTAAAATTCAGATAAAGTCACCGACGAGTATTTTCCTATGTTTCTCTTTCAATGAACATCTCGTGTATACCATAATTGTATCAATTTTAGATCATTATGTTAAAACTTTGCTTTTTTTAAAGCGGGGTTCTAGCCTCCCAAATAATATCAACATGCTGAACTACAGTATAAAGGTGATACATGGACTTTGTTTTCGAACAAGTTATGAATTTGACTGTATTCCGTAAAATTCAGATAAAGTCACCGAAGAGTATTTTCAGATGTTTCTCTTTCAATAAAAATCTTGTGTATACGATAATTATATAAATTGCAGAGTACTATTTGAAACATTCGCTTGTTGGCATGTCAAAGCAATCTGAATCTGTGCAGTTTCAGGGTCTTACCCGGAGACCGACATCCTACGGGACCAACATTGACAGAATGATCACCAGATCGATACAAACAAAGACATCAGAAAATAAAGAAAGGAAGATAATTCTTAAAGGTCCACGAGACCGACAGCCAATAACACTGATAAAAAATGAAATAAGGGACGGTGGAAAGATGTCGATTTTGAGGGCTGTCGTTTTCGTGGGACTTTGGGCTAATGAGAGCTCAAAAGTAATTATGTCGGAAGGCGTACGAGACCGACATTGTCGATCTAGTGGGCTGATGGTCTATAGGCTGTAGCCGCGATTTTCATTTTCATTTTTGGGGTTCGATTTACAGAATGTATGATTAGTAAAATTCACATGTACAAGTATATCACACGATACGAACGGTAAACAAATTATTTCGATTAAATCAAGACTTTATTTGTTTTTACTTTGATGATACAATGTCAAGTGTATTTGTGCATAAAACCACTCGATTTGAAAACACAACTTTACCACCTCAAAAGCGGATGCATTGGTATATTTTACAGCTAGTAAAACATATTCTTGAATACTCAAGTCTCAAGTAAATTTGAAGTTATCCTTCGACATTCAACTGTGTAATCGTGATAATAACATTGTTGCAGAGGTTACAGTTGATATATTCCAGAGATTGCACACACATATTTATCATTGACACCTAATCACATTATCTTCCACTCCAATGGAAATACTCTTCTCATTCTTTTTATCTCCTTGTTTTGTGATACATTTCTGACACAATAACACCTATTTTCGTGTGATATTTTTCATTGGATTTAATTATATCTGCTGAAGCTCAACGGAAATATATTACAGGTGATTTCTTATTTACGGAACCAGCTTTGATTCGTTTGAAACTAAAATCTGGCATTTGTTTTAGGCAATCTTTAAGTGATAAACATTAAAACTCACAAGATATCATAGAGTAATAGAAAAGGAAAGAAAAACAAAGAACAAAAGAATTTGAATGTAACAAAAGTGATTCCTCAAATACGGCACAACCAATTTGCAATATGTTTCCACAAGGTCTTAAAGGGATAGGCAATTTGTGTGTTTATACAGAGCTAACAGCCCGAAAGACATCATAAAGATATAGAATGAAGTAAATTTCTTCGTGATTATGATGATAATTAATTCCCTCTGGCCTGTTTTTATCATTCCCGATACAATGGCAGATAAATGGTTTAAAGGTGAAAGGGGCCAATTTCTAATACAAAATAAAAAAAACATAGATTCTACTGAATCTATTCGGGAATTTTAATCTATTAGGTCATCAATCATTGAGATTCATGCCGGGATTCATGTAAGATTTAGTGTAAACCAACTTGATAGATATATGAAAAAGATAGGATGTGTCCCACGTGTAATTTTCCTAGGGATTCAATGCTTCATTCCAATCGATATCTTGTTAAAAACGTAAAAACTGTTAACCATTCGAAGAATTTAATATCTTTATACAGAGTCGACTTTGCTTGGGGGCTGAAATAATAAATACATATTGCAACTATATAAAAACGAAAGCAAAAGAATTTAATCATGTTTATGTCATGAAGATAATTGAGAAACAAGGATCTAATGCATTATTAATGCAGATAATGCATACACTGTATTCGTGATCCACATTTTATAAATCCCCTTGGATCAATTAGTGATAGATACCATGGTAACCGTATCATACCTAACATCAGTCGGACGAAATCGACTCAGATGTTTACATTAGCATTTCACCTCATGCCTAGTAATCTGAATCATACTCGTATAAAACTCTGGAACTGAATAATGCAATTTACAAGTATCAACGCAAAGTTTTAAAATATATCATTATTTATGTTATGGGTAATAGATATTGACAGAGAAATATGTTTATTTTCTCTTGCCAAATTCGTACCGTCTAAATTGTACAAAACGATCTGGTTTTCGTCTCTGTATATCCTGCAAGTTTACTTGATTCATATATACATCCTCGTTTTACATCCTTAAACATGTAAGAGTTAAGACTCACAATCATGCGCGAGATTAATGCAAGTTTGTTGCAGAAGAACAGTATTACGAATTCAAGATATAACAAAGTAAGGCAGTTTCCTTCGTAGTTAAACCTGTATATGCAAGTATTAATACGTGAAACGGTTTAGGTAAAATAATTTGCATATTGCAACAAAAAAATCATTGTGAGTTTTGTGTTTGCAGTTTCATTGTTATTTCATCAAAAAAACACGATCGAACAGACTTCAAAATGTCAACCTCAGGCAATTTCAGTAGCCTTGTGCATCATGTTTTGAAATGGGCGAATATTACAATGACTTTATTATTAATGTAATACGAACATGATATAAACTACAATAGGGTATTGAAATTGCTCCTGAGTTGACCTTTCGAAAGTCTTTGAAAGATCGTGTTAAAGTCATCAGCTTAATGAAGCTTGAATTCAGATTCTTTGAAACGGGAATTAAATTCAAAGGAATACCAAAAACTTGGCATGACTGGCAAACACGAGCCTTTTAAGAACAAAGGTGGTCTCCTGACATATTCACTTATTTCCCTGCGTTAGTGACCGTGCATAATTATTAAAACAAAGGAATGCATCCCACTTCTCACCACTTAGTTCATACCACTTAAAAACTGAAGAATTGGAACCACGTAATTGGCAAGATCAGTGGCTGTACGTGAGCGATTTTTTTTATAAGACTACTTATCCCATCATCCTCTTTATCACTATTCCTAGTATTCAGTATAAAGGAGGCCCTCTTTTCCTGGGCAATGAACCATATTTCTAGAACACAATATTCATCAAAGGGGCTTTCCCTCATATTTTGTGATTCCAGTTGACCCTACAGAAAATTGATTTCATTTTTCAAAGGAACTTAGACCTAAACACTTTGATTAATTGGCAGTCGCCATCTTAAATGTACACCCACGTCCAAGTAAAGTAAATTTCGTGTTTGCGGAAAACTGTGTCTTTTCAAGTAAAATGTAGACCTGACCACTTTCATTCATCTGGAGACGGATGACATCAATGTGAACATTCTACCTATGTAATATAGATTGGTTAACTACATGGTCATGTTGGTGGAAAAGTGCATAATCTTAAAAGATAATGCATGTAGACCTTATCACTTTGATTAACCCAAAGACGTCATTTTCAGTGTATGCATCCTTTCCAACTGAAGCAATACAACATAGGAAAGCTACCTACAGGATCATGTTCCTCGTCTTGGTGGGGATGAGGGGGTGGGGGAGGGGGTGTAGGTGGCATTACTATAACATTCTGAATGGGATGCCGCACGAAATGTGCTGATTAGAGTTTAAGAGACCCTCACATTTGCTAAAGATGTTTACCAAAAGACAAACTAATGTCTTAGATTTTCACATTCGACGAGGGTATAATTGACTTCCTCGCTTTCTTAAAATTTACCGGCAAGGGTAATTTCTTTAATAAAATCAAAAGAGAAACAGTAGACACGTGCCTAAGATTTTGAAATAATTTGCCCAAAAGGTTTGTTTATTAATTTTATCTGTTATGGATTAGCGGAGGGCGGGTGACATTAAACCCGCTACCAATACATCTGCCTTAATCAAGAATTAATTGGTTTTATCACCACGGCACCGTGATAAATAAAGTGCACATAGAGGTTTAGTGAAATTTAATACACGAAGATAAATAAGTGCAGCACATTGACCATGTTTACTGCATGACAATATGCAATAACAAGTTGACTAGACGAAGCCATTACTTACATGGCAATAAATACCCGGTATTTATTGTCCTGGTGCATCTTTTTACATCAATAGAATAACAAGATTAGATGAGTTTATATGAAATATGATTCTGGTATTCATGAACATAAAAAGGGTAAGCGAATCATGTAAATTACTAGCATGGATCATAAACGGTGAGACCGAATTTGAAATTAGATTTCCATTGAACAGAACTGGAAAAACATACGTGCAATTCTTTCTGGTATTCCTGAATGATTGATAGACACTCATCAATCATTATGGTATGAATAAACATACGTTATCCTCTGTACACCTCCTAATCTCATAGAATTCTGAGTTTCCGATTAAAATAAGTGTTCGATTGAACAATGATAATAACAATAATAATGATAATAATAACGATAATTATAATAATGATAATGTTCTGAGTTTATATAAACCTTAATAAATCACAACTTAAATAACACAGAATATA